TTCAATCTATAGCCAAAGAAAGAAAAGCAAAGATAACACTCCTCTCAAGTTTTAATCTCAAAAAAAAAAAAAAAAATCAAATTGTTTGGTGTTTTCTTTGTGGAACAGGTTTTGTAACAATAGTCTTTACTGAAAAATGATCAATGGTCTACAATGTGTTCAAAATATAAACTGAAAGAGTCTCTTCAAATTATTAACTCACTGATGATTTATTAGATTTTATAGGTCTTAATCTTTCATCACAGTTGGAATTTCAGATAATATTCTTTAGAAACATCTGATGAAAAACCTATTTCTAACCTACATATAATTCATAGCAAATTGACATTTTTAAAGAACAGAAAGATTTTTATTCTGCTTAGATTACTCTTAATACCATAAACTTTGGACTTCTAAAACATTTGGGACTTTTGTAAAAATAAAAAAAAACATAAATCTTATATTCTATTATTTTGAAAATTAAAAAAGATTTATTTATTCATGTATACAAGAACTGGGGTACTGGCCAGAGATATGGGAGGTGGGGGTGGTTGAGAGTATCTACCAGAGACAGAGTAGGGAGCAGAACAGCATATAGAATGAAATACCTTGCTGAGGGGAGCAGCGGGCAAGACATGAGAAGTCAAGACCTTGGCCATGTGGGTCACCACCTTGGCCGGAGATAAGACTGGTGCTGCAATGGCTGTGGTTTGCTTCACAGTGCTATTTAACCCACTGTGCCACCAGGGAGAACCCTATTTTGAAATACGCCTTTAAAGGTATAAAACACATCACTCCTTCAAAAAGAAATAAGAAATAAAACATGAAAGCAATCATAAAAATGTTTGATTGCTTCTGCATAATGCCCATACTTTAAACTTCTCTTAAAGTACCATACATTCAACAATCCTCTTTAGGACCAGGTTCAAACTACATCTTCAGTACGAGGTATAATAATTTGATAATTTGTTTAACTTCTCTAATTGCTCAGCTCTAGTCAGTAGTTAATACAATTTAAAAAATCTAATTATCCCCAGGAATATCAGTCCACCCATGCTACCCACTATATATGGAAATCAAGCTTTAATTGTAACAACAAATGACAGGATAAAATAAATCACACATGTCACATATCTTTTTTTCAGTTTTCTATTTTTTCAGATATATACCTATCTGTGCATACAGATATATAAAGCCTATTAAATCTAAGTGATTCTTAGCAGATCAATGCAAAACCAAAGAAAAATAGAATAGCATTAGGCTATCGCACATGATTATTTCCTTACACCTGTTGAAGGATTTTGCAGCAGACAAACATGTGAGTATCTGTGTATCTTAACATGATAAAAGTTATTATTTAGGGCCCTCCCTGGTGGCACAGTGGGTTAAAACAAGCACTAAGAAACTAAAGCCACTTCAGCATGAGTTAGATCCCCCTCCCCAAGGGTGACCCACATGGCATGGCAGACCTCTCCTGATCCCCCCGCTGCTCCCCTCAGCAGTGTAATTCATCAGTCAGCCTGTTCTGCTCCCCACTCTGTCTCTGGGGAATCCTCTCACCACCCTCTGGCCTGTACCCTAGTTCAGTATGCATAAATAAATAAATCTTTTTTAAAAAAAGTTATTATTTCAAACCTACTATGCCGGTGATGTTACAGTGTAAGTCACAGCACTATGAAGCTATCCATAGCATAGTCACTGCAGCAGTTAGGTCCCCACCAGGGAGCTGACCCACATGGCTTATCAGACTTCTCCTGTCACACCTGCTACTCCCCTCAGCAGTGTATTTCAGTCAATACCCCTGTTCTGCTCCCCACTGTCTCTGGAGAATCCATGCCCCTGGCCTGCACCCCAGCTCTTATATGCATAAATAAACAAATCTTTAAAAAAATAAAACGTACCATGTACCAACCACTGTCGTATTTTATCCTCACAACTAAGAGAAGTTAGAATTATCTCCATTTTACAAGAAAATTATACTTTCAGGGATTGTGTAATGTGATGAAGTTTACAAAGCTAGCAAGTAATGGAAAAAGTATACAAACACAGGTCTGATTCCAAAGCCTTTGCTAATGATAACATCAAAGACTCATCATTAGCAGCATTGCCCAAGTAATATTATGTAACTGTTTAAAATAAATAAAAGATTTACCTCAAACTATGGTAAAATTTTATTGACTACTGTTAAATGTAGCCATCATGCTTTACAGTTACATCCCAATTATCTGAAAGTACATTAAAAGTTCTCCTAACTGACTTTCACTTATCAACCAGCAAGAATGACCATTGCTTTCACATAAGAGCAAACTGACACTGGGGGCTTATAGGACACCTTCTATAAAGTTCCTATGGCCTGCACACATCTACATGCTCAGTGTATGTTAACCAGAATCTGGTGTTTTTATCCAAACCTGTTTATGCCAGTCTATTTATAATTAACGTTTTTAAATATTATATAAACCAAAAATATGAGTAGAAAAAGAGTTTCTGTGGTGAAGACATTATTGAATGCTTCTATGATAAACATATTCTCTCTTCCACCAAAACAAATACCTATTGACGTAAATGCATACAAGACACATTAAAAAAGAATTTTAAAAGAATTTTAATGTAAAAGATTTTGCCCTCAGATTTTTTGGCCAAATCTTATTCCACTTCAAAGAAGACAAAATGCAGATCTTAGGATCTTATTGTTGTGGCTTATATAAGAAAGATCATATCTATCATATCTCTGAAAAACAGACCTAACTTCAATCCTAAAAGGAGCACTGATTCTATTTCAAAAGATAAATGAAATAATTAAGGTTTTTTGTTGTTGTAGTTGTTGTTTTGTTTTTCAATGATTACTCTAGCCAACCAACTTACCATAGCCAAACATGCATTTAGAAACTCTATTAAAGCACAGTTGCATACCACTAAGCAAATATTTCAGTCTCTGAAATGAGAATTCACCTACTTCATTCAGATTTTGTATGAATATCTGAATGGTTCTCCTATTTAGTATCATTTTATAGAGAACTCAGTACTAAGCATGTTTATCTAGTTCTTGAACATAGATTAAAATTAAAAGGAGGTAAAAATAGCTATTTTAACAAGAAAGACTGTTGAGATCATGGGAATTTAAGAATCTGATCCAAAATAAACCAAAAACCCAAACTAACAAAAAAACTCACAAATTTTTGCCATTTCTGGATAGTGACAGAGTGCAAAATTGAAGCGCCTATGATGTCCCTTTATTATCCTCTATATTCTTTAATTTTCTTTAAGGGAAGGGAAGCATTATTACTGTTTTAAAGATCTTTTCACATACCATGATTACAGTATGAAATATTTTTGGCATTTAAAGAGTAAAGTTTCAATTATCCAGAAAATTAACTCAGACTAATCTTTTGACAATAATGTGATGGGGGGGGGGGGGAAATTATCTAACCTTCATTGCCTGTAACTGTGCCTTTCCAACTACAAGTCAAGAAATCAGTTGAGTGAGTTGTGACAACAAATTTGAAAAATAGAAATAGAACAGAAAATACAAGACCACACTTCACATAGTAAAGGTAAGTATGTTTTATGAAAAGTTTATTTCAGCAACTTATCCACTTTGCAAAGCAAACACTTACTCTGGGTCAAAAGAAAACCAGGGGTCTAAAGATTCAAAGTTATTTTGACATATCACATTTACTAAAACTTGCATTCCCATCATTTTTACATCATCAGGCTAAAGAATGTACAATTTTAGAGAGAAAAGGCCTCTTTAAGAGTTTTGATAAATACATTATTTTCCCTAGTAATGTATATCAGTGTACAACTAACACTGGAGTTAGTACTGTTATACCCAAAATAGAAATGGCATGCAAATACTATTTTTTAAACTGCTTATGACCCCAAAATCCAAAACAAATAGTGACTTTGATTTTATTTGCTTATTTATCCTGAGATGCAATTATTAACCTTGGTGCCATTTTTCCAAAGCCGTTGATAGGGTACTATACAAGCAACCTGCTTAATTAAGAGCAAAACTCTTGCTAAAGCTTCATGCATACCTAGCTGATTTTGAAAAACGGTTAGATACTGAAAACTAACCTAAGATACTAAATTAAGCATGGCTTTCTCTACTTCTTTCTAATACATTTTATAAGACACTATTACCAAAGACACATCAACTATAAAAGAAAATGTCTTTGTAATCCACTTTGAAAAAATATAAATATGGTAAACAGTCAGTTTACTACATGTGTTTTAAAAATTCGGATGAGGATACATAAACATTTTGAATCTCAAAGTTTCAGATTTGAGGAATCTGTGATTCTAGTCCAACAACCTACCAAAATACAATAATCCTTTTCCTACAATGTTCCTTGGACTCAAATTGCCATCTGACTGAGAAGTCTTCATTCCCAGCTATTACTATATAAAAGTCTTCTAAAGTTGGTGGTTGCATTAGTCAAAATAAATGAAAAATGAGTTTTCGGTGCTCTTAAGTCCTTGAAAACTCAGCGCATACATTACTCTCTTAAGTCCTGAAAATAAAGGTTTAGAAATCAAAAGGTAAGATACACTTTTGGAGTTGCCTAAAACACAAAAATTCGCTAATGAAAGTAATAATAATAAGAATAATAAAATACTTGTCAACTCACACAATCTTAAATTTTCTCATTAAATTCAAATTCCCAAGTTGAAAAGCTTGCAAACTTCTTTAAAATTGTAGTTAGACTGGCTTTACTTAAAATGAGTAATGTAACTCAAAAATGGCAACAGATATAAATGCTGTTCTTGCCAATTCCATTTTGAGTTACACTAGAGTTTCTCTTGAAACTCTAGCTTTACACTTTGGAAGAACATACTTCCCATATAGAACCTAACTCGTTTCCTGGCCTGGTCCTTGAACCTCAATGACTGAAATCTGTAACAGAAACAAGCAATCATGCAATACACAAAGAGTTGACCCTTAGCGCAGAACTAGGTTAATGCGTCTAAAATGGGGCAGAGGAAAAAAAAAAATCCTACTTAAATAAATCATTTACCTCGGTCTGGCTTCATTTTCACATCCAATTTCCACTGAGGGTGCTGAGAAACACACGTGTAGGTTCTTTAACAGGCTTGCTGCTGATTCTGTGGCTACTGCTCCGTTTCCAAATGCTAAAACAGATCCAAATAAAATTAATCTGGCCCTGTTCTAACACCCGGACCTTGCAAGAAAACTACTGTTAACAGTTAGGCCTCTTCCTGGCACTAACTGCAGTGACAGCACCATCCGCAGGTCTGAAAAAAGCAAAACTCTCTGCACCGCCTCCGCCAGCTCCTCGGGTCGGAGCACCCTTCACTCCCCAACCCCCGCCCCGAGCTCTCCAGGCCAAAGTGTCTTTCTTTGACACAGTCTCCAAAGCAAAAGGAGGATCTATTTATAACCCGAGGTACCAGCAAGGAGGGAGGGCGGAGTGGTGAAGAAGGATTCGAGCAACACAAGCTAACTAACCCCTTTGTAAAACTGGCTGCTGGAAACAGTGGCAGCTCCGCAGGGGCCGGTATCGGAATTCTGCGACCTGGTGCCCGAGCGCAGAAACTCTCCAGGACCCCGAGCGCCCCGCCTAGAGCTCCGCCCGCCCCGCCGGGCCTCACCTGTGTAATTACCCTCTGGCTAGCCTTCCTGCGGCGACCGCGGCCAAGTTTACCCGAGAGTCAGAAAGAAACGCGAGTCATCTCCTCGCGCCCAGCCCCCAGCCCCCAAACAGACTCCTGGGGCGCCCGGGCCGCCCTCCACCAACCCCTGGCCCCGAGTGGCCAGGCCTGAGGTCGGCCGCGGAAAGGTGTTTACAGCTGGGCGCTCGCCCCGGCTCTGCGCAGCGTGCGCGCTGCGGGCCGCTTCCGTCCCGCCGCGGCCCCGGATTTCCTTCACCCCCGCGGCACGGAGCACCGCGCCTGCCCCGCTCTCCGCCGGAGAGTTGTTTTCATGGCTCCCTCGGCCGACCTCTGCTGACTAACTCTCTCTCCCCTCCGGTCCCAATCCCGCCTCCTCTTGGCACTTCGCTTCGCCGCTAGTCCAGCGGCTCACATCACACTCCCACCTCAGACCCGAGGCTCCGAGAGGCGCAGGGCCGGCGAGAGCGGAGGGTGGCGCGCTGCGGCCCCTGGGGCTGCGTTACGGGACCATGGGGGCCCGAGACCACAAGCCCGACGCTGCTCCCCGGCGCCCCTGTGGCCATCCACCCCCGCCTCAGCCGCCGCCTCGCCCCGCTCCCAGTACTCAGTCCCTCACACTGCCCAACTCGCACCCGAGCCCCGCGGCCCCCGGGCTTCGCCCGCCCGTCGCCCCGGCCGGCCCGCTTGCCCCGCGCCTCTGCCAGCTCCTCGCCCGCCCGCTGTCTCTAGCTCTGGCGCCCCAACTCCCGGTCCCCCTCGCTCGCCCAGTTCTTTCTCTGCTGTTTGCCCTGTCAAAACACCGCTTGGGTCACGTGTCCCAACAACAGCCAACCCACCGCTCGTCACTTCCTCCCCGGCGGCCTCCGCGGCGGGCGCCCGGTTGCTATGGCAACGGCCCGCGCGCCCCGGGCTCTAGCCTGGGGGCTTGGGTTTCTTTGCAGGTGCTCCACGGCTGCCAGGGCGGTGTGGAGCCCGGGAGACGGCGTGAGGCGCCACGCGCGTCCGTGGCCCTCGATTCCTGCCTGCGCTCCGACTCCGCCGCGGCGGATCTGAGCCCAGGAATCCGTGCAGCGCTATTAGAACATAGGGTAACTGGGGAGATGTCATTCGAGGGCCTGCCCCAGACGTGAAGGATAATTATAGTCTCTTCCTCCTCCACACGAGATCCTGGCGCAGTTGTGACCGAGCCTCAAGTAGTTTGCAGCGTAATCTGAACCTAAAGTGGCCACCACCCGAGGGTGGACAAAAATGCGCGGAGGAAAATGGGAAGGTTAAGAACAAGAAGCCCCCATTACCCTTGATTTTCCCAGTTCATTAAGGATTTTAAGTAGGATTCAGAACCCAAACTCCCGAGGCTCTGGCTTTGCTAAAAATAACTTTTATAACATCTAAATCTCTGACTCATCGCAGAAGGGCACTTTTGACACCATGTTATTGTTGGGGAACTGTAATTTTGTTGTTGTGCTATAACAATGTGACATGATGACATTTCGTATTGTGATGTTGTGTCATCAACTTAAACACAAACAGATGACAAAGATCTGCGTAATTTAAAAAAGCAACACTAACAAGTACTGAAGCTATTAGCCACCCAGTTTATAGACAATGTATATACTGGCTTGTGAGCGCAAAACAGAGACAGGGAAAAGTACAAAATTTGCAATGTTTTTTGGTTTCATTAGAAAAGCTTTTTTTTTTTTTTTTTTTTTTAGAAACAATTTTGCATAGAGAATCACAACCGGAAAGTACTCAGTTAGGTCTGAAGATGTTTTACCTAAGTCTTTATGTACTCTTATTTACAGTAACTATGCATTACTTGTAGGTCAGGAAACTTTTTGTAAAGTACAACACTGGAAATTACATTTTTTGGCCTTAGATCTACCAAGTGCATGAACTTTCTATTAAGAGGACAAAGTGATATTTTTGAAATGTTTTGATATGTACAATGAAATTACACCACAGTGATCAAACTTACTTCTAAGATTTTATCCAATCAAAACAGGGTAGAACACTCAGGAATATAATGTTTCATTTTCACTGAAGTGCACTAACATTATGAAGATGAAACCACCAGCAGCATCAGTTTCTTAATCTATGTAATGGCTACAAATGTTGACACCCAGTGGATTTGACTTTGATATTATTGAATAAGTATTTCATGAACTGAAGTTTTTACTTATTCTACAATCACTTCTCAATTAACCTTGGTAATGGGAGACAGAAAGAACAGTTACAGATAATCCAAAAACCTAAATTTAGCACAACAGCTGGGACCAAATAACAACTATTGTAAAAGGCTTACTGAGTGAACAGGCAGCAAGATCTGTGATTTTTAGCTCCTCTTTCCAAGCCTAATTTGCAAGAGGCATACAAATCAGAGAAATGTTAACAGCAGAAGCTTAAAATATTGGGCAATCTTGAATACAAACTATTACTTTAAAAAATAAGTTTTATAAATTTATAAATTTAAATGTTACCTTGAAATTTTTTATGAGAATAAGATCTGTTTAAAAATTGGAGATTGAGGCTTCCCTGGTGGAGCAAGGGATTAAAGTGCAGCATTATATAACTATCGAAAAGCCACTATAATACAAGTTCTATCACTGGCCAGCAAGGTGACCCACATAGCTCAGCAGACCTCTCCTGTCTCACCACTGCTCCCCTCAGCAGTGTATTTCAGTACATCTTACTGTTTTGCTTCCCACTCTGGTGAATCCTCTTATCCCCCCACCCCTGAGTGCTGCTGGCCTATATCCCAGCTCTTGTATGCATAAATAAATTAATGTTTTTTTAAAAATGGAGATGAGGGACTCCCTGGTGGCCCAAGGGGTTAAGTCTCAGCACCATGAGGCTAGCAGCAGTCACTACAGCACTGAGTTTGAACCCTGGCCTGGGAGCTGACCCACATGACACAGCAGACTTCTCCCACTTGCCCACTATACCCCTCAGCAGTGTATTTCAATCTGCCTATTTTGCTCCCTACTCTGTCTCTGGTAAATCCTCTCACCCAATTCCACCCTCCACCTCTGACCTATACCCCAGCTCTTGTATGCATAAATAAATAAATCTTTTAAAAAAATTGGAGATCATTATGGCAGTGGGAAAAAGTATTTGGAAAGTATGTTTTTCTTATTCATTCGTCATTCAAGTTACTGTTTCATTCAGTATATGTGCTAGGAATTTACTCTTCTCCAACCCGCTGCGCCACCAGGGAGGGCCCATATGTTTAAATCTTAACCCCTATACTGTGAATATAACATTATTTGGAAATAGGCTCTTTGCAGTGTAGTCAAATTAAAATGAAGTCACACAGGATTGCTTGTGGGCCCTAACTCTAATTAGTCCTTATAAAATAAGAAATTTCAAGACACAGAAAAGATGACTGTGTGAAAAGGCAACAGAGATAGAATGATGCAGCTGCAAGTCAAAGATTTCTGGGTGCACACACTCTGTTAAGAAGCAGGAAGGATTAGGATTCTTCCCCATACTTCAGAGGGGGAAGGCCCTGTCCCTAACTTGATTTATTCCTATTAGCCTTCACAACAGCCTGAGAAAACTGCTGTTGTTTTAAGCCACTCATATTGTTTGATTTTGTTAATTGCTCTCAGAAACAAAGAGAATGTTAGCAAAGATGCTTTGCTGATACTGAAAATTTTCTCCTAAGCCCCAGGTTCTGAATGGTCACAAAAACATGGAGAGCTTTACTTTTATAAATCAGTTGTAAATATGAAAACAATCTCTCATGTCACAAGATAATAATTTTATGACCCACATCCAAAGGGTTTGTATGAATAAATGGTTTAGAATCATCAAAAATATACTTTTAATGTGGTGATTTTAATATAGTGATGGTAGATCTATTTCTCCATAATGTATCATGGGCAAAAACTAGTAGAATTAATTGAAATGTATTAGATAAATCTAGCCTTGCAAAGCAAGTAAAAGAAATGTCAAACAGTACTGTTAAGTTCATGAAGCAAGAAGATGAAAGGCACACAATCTAGTTCAGATCTAAATTGTTTCCAGTTCATTTAAATTCATAGGCGTTCATGGCTTTTTAAGGGAGAAAGAAAAGGGGGGCATTGCTAAGGTGTCATATAGATACCTCTCTACCTTTCTTCAAATTGGTTGACTGGTTTGTTCTTTTTTGAGTTTCCTGTTGATCTACCTTTCTATAACAAGTTTAAGGAAGTGAGAAATGATTCTTTCTGGTTTCTGCTCACAGAACTGACTATAATATTTAGAAATACAAAAGCTTCTGAATTTTAAACCATGGAAAACTTTCATCTGAAGATTTGCTGAACCAAGTCTCTGAGCTTTCAATATTTAAGATTTTTCACAGAATTTATAATTGTTCATTTTAATGACAGTAACCGTGCTTAGCGTTTCAAATATATTTTATGTATTTGTTTTCTATTTTCACCCTCTTATATTTGGGGTTAAGAAATTGAGGCTCAGAGCTGAGTAACTTTCCAAAGGTACAGTCAATAAATAGAAGGAAACTGCTTCTAAATAAGTTCATTTAATTTCCATTGCAAGATTATAAAGTAGGTTCAGTTTTTTTTCAAGATTCATTTATTTATACATACAAAAACTGGGGTACAGGCTATAGGTGTGGAGGGGTAAGAGGATCCACCGGAGACAGAGTGCAGAGCACAACAGGCTGATCTACTAAAATACACTGCTGAGGGGAACAGCAGGTGAGACAGGAGAGGTCTGCAGTGCCAATTGGGTCATCGGTTCCCTGGCAGGGAATCAAATGCCTGCTGCGTGGCTGCAGATAGCTTCACAGTGCTGTGATTTAAGCCCTTGAGCCACCAGGGAGGCCCCATGAAGTAGGTTAAATTATTCCAAAATTTACAAAATGCAAAACTAAGGCTCAGAAACATTGTGAATAGTTGCATATTTAGAATGCAAATTGGTTATATAAACTTAGGTTCAAAGATTTGAGATAAGTTATAAATAGATATCACTGGCTAAATTAATATATGTCAACTGCAAAGAACAAACAGTTATACTTAGTCAATCGCAGCAACCTGGCCTCTCTGAAGGCATAAAGTGTTAAATCTCAGCTCCAAGAAGCTATCCTCAGGCACTGCAGCATGAGTTCAATCCCCCGCCAGGGAGCTGACCACATGGCCAGGCAGACCTGTCCTATCTTACCTGCCACTCCCTTCAGCAGTGTATTTCAGTAGATCTGCCCATTCTGCTCCCCACTCTGTCTCTGCTAAATCGTCTCACTCCCCTGCACCTCTGGTGGCCTACATCCCAGCTCTTGTATGCACAAATAAATAAAATAAAAATAGCAACTAATATTTCTTAAACATTTAAGTAGAAACACTATTCTGAGTGTTTTATAAGTATTAGTTTATTAAATCTCCACACTATCCCCATGAAATATTATTATATCTATTTTATAACCAAATAAACAGGAAAAGGGAAGTTAAACATGTCTAAGGTCAATTAGGAAGTGGCAATTTGTCACACTAAGCAGAATGCCTTGAATATAAATTATTAACCACTGCTAGTCCATTTAGCCTGGTTTTCTACCTAAACCTTAGGTGTTTCTGCCACTGGGCTTCTGCCATACCCCTCATGTGGTCTCCCTCCCCATTTCCTAGATAACCCTTTCTGGATTTTGAGGGTCCACAGTGTTAACTCTGATGCCTTCTAGAACCCATCACATACCCTGTTAGGCTTTTCTTTGAACGCAAATTTAACTTGTGATAGTAAAGCCACATTTTATCTTTTCAAGGACAGAAATGACTTGTAT